GGGAGGGCTCGCCGGGCGCTGTTCTGTGTGGCTGTTCCCCAGCTGCCCCGCCCCAGAGGTGGCTGCATCTCGGCACCGTCTCACCCCCCCATGTGCTCTGTGCCCGGCTCTAGGTGCAGAACGCCGTGGCCATTGTCCGGCCCCCCGGGCATCACGCCGAGTCCGACAAAGCCTGTGGCTTCTGCTTCTTCAATTCGGTCGCCCTGGCAGCTCGGTTCGCGCAGCGCCTGGCGGGACGGCCCATGAGGTGAGCGGGGGCTGGTGGTTACACTGCTGGGGGGCGGGGGGTCAGGATGCCTGGGTTCTATCCCCGGCTCTGGGAGGGGAGTGGGGGCTGGTGGTTAGAGCAGGGGGGGCTGGGAGCCAGGACTCCTGGGTTCCATCCTCATCATCCCTTCTCGTCGTTGTCAGGGTGATGATCCTGGACTGGGATGTTCACCATGGCAATGGTACCCAGCACATGTTTGAGGAAGATCCGAGGTACCGTGTCCTCTGGTGGGGGAGGTGGAGTGGGGAGGTGATGGGGTCAGCGGGGGCGGGGGGGTGTCAGTGGGGCGGCGATGCAGGTGGGGGAGGGGCGGTGACGGGGGCAGTGGGGTGGCTGCGGGGCCGATGCATGTGGGGGAGGGGCGGCAGCAGGTGATGATGCAGGTAGGGGAGGGGTGGTGATGGGGCAGCAATGCAGGTGGGGGAGGGGGGGGGGCCAGGGCGATGCGGGTGGGGGGGGGGCTGGGGGACAGGGTCCGAGTGGGACTAACCCCCCCCCGCCCCCCCAGCGTGCTGTACGTCTCTCTGCACCGTTACGACCACGGCACCTTCTTCCCCACCTCTGAGGACGCCGACGCCGACCGGGTGGGGGAGGGGCCGGGCCGCGGCTTCACCCTCAACGTGCCCTGGAACGGCCCCCGCATGGGCGACGCCGAGTACCTGGCCGCCTTCCACCGCCTGGTGCTGCCCGTCGCCTACCAGGTGCGCCCGGATGCCTGGGTTCTCTCCCAGCGCCGGCAGGGGAGGGGATGGGGGAGCCCGGATGCCTAGGTCCGCTGGCAGGGGCTGGGGGGTCGGGGACTGAGGGTGGGGGTGGGGGGCTGAGCCCGGATGCCTGGGTCCGCCGGCAGG